ATTTAGTCTTTATTCTAAAACATTTAGGGGGTCTTAAAAAATCAGGCAGTTTAAAACTTTAAAGATATGCTTTTAAATGTCAAAATATATTTTGATTAAGTTTAAAACATTAGCGTAATAATACTTACAATTTTCCTTTTGACAAAAATCCACTTGAAATATGTAAAAATGTTCTGCTTTATTGATAGACACAAAACATAAATTTCAAATAAAAAATTCAGACCATTGAAATGCACAAGCATTATTTTAAACATAAAAAAAAGTTTCAAAAAAGATATTTTATTTTTTTAATTTAAATATACAAGCAATTGTAAAGATAACATCTGCTACTGTTGTTGACATACTCCTCATTCTGTTTTCTAACTCTATTAATTATTTATTTGTCCTTGTATGTAATGCTTTTGTCATACTTGGGCATATTGTCATACTTTTGTCATTCTTCTAATGATGCTCTTTCTCTTTTAGATCGATAAGGTCCATAAAAGTCTGTTCTTACAAAAGGTTAGGGTTCACAACTAGGTTGGCACTAAAGGTGACAACTATATTGGTATGGAAGATTTAAATCCTTCAAGGCTATCTTTATGGTTACATTAGGCAGCCTTAAAACATAGTTATACCAAAAAGAGTAATTTAATCTTTTGTAGAACTATATAACCAGCATTTGAAGGTTTAATCTGATTTTTTGTAGAATCACAATATCTTTTCAAATCTTATCTGTTTTTTTATTGTTGTTTTGACCTTAATGTTTTATAAAGAAGGATCAACAACAAACCTGGAAAGCCTAGTTTACTTGGAAAAAGGAATGTTATATATTTAAGATGAATGTATTTAAAAATAAAAGAGCATGTATTCAAAAATAAATATTTAAACAAATTAAAAATTAACTATGTATTAATTATGCTTAAAATAATAAAAAATAATTTTTTACTTGAAAACTTTTAAATAAAAAGTTTTTAGTAAACTTCTTGTTTTAACTTAAAAAAAAAAAAAAACACTTTTTATTTTTATTTTTGCAGTTTGTTTAAAAATTGCATATAAAGCTTTCTGAATTCTTAGTTGATGTATGTACGAGTGAGTCCTGACTGTGGCTTTTTTTAGTAGCAAACTGTAGTGTTTTAAACAAATGAAGCAGTGAAAAGCTTGTCTAAAACAAACTTGTTGGGCAAAGTAAGCTCACCCTTATAAATTAAAAAAAAAATTAATGTATATATGTGTATATATATATATATATATATATATATATATATATATATATATATATATATATATATATATATATATTTACTTACTAAAGCATGTTTTGATAAGCGTTTGCTCACTTTTTCTGCTTACCTTAAGCCATACTATTTTTTTCGAAAAAGAAGAAAAAACGAAGAATGATGGATAAAACGATTGCTTCCCCATCCCAAACCCTCAGTCGATGTAGCAGCACTCCACTGCAAGTCAGGCTATTTGTCAGTCAATGTATGTACTGAAGCCATCAGCAGCAGGCTATTTCAGTATGACGTCAGATTGCTTACCTTATAGTACGCAATACTATTTGTGTGTATATATATATATATATATATATATATATATATATATATATATATATATATATATATATATATATATATATATATATATATATATATAAAATCAGTCTTGCTTGATCGTCTTTAATTTTTACCATAAAATGTAAACTTTTTTTCAACCTAATTGTCAGTTGATGTAGCAACACTCTATAGTCTATTATTTGCTTTTTTGTGGATTTTAATCCAAAACTCAAGAAAGGTAAAAATTAATCCTGTGAAAAAAATATAAATAAAATAAGGCTTTTTTATTTTAATTCCATGACTGCTAAACTAAAACACTCACTGTAGCTTACAAAAGTTAGTTAATGTGTATACTCTTTGGTTACTTGATAAATCAGTTGATAAAGATTTATGACAAAAAATTAAAAAAAAGAAAAAAGAAAAAAGAAAAGAAATAGAATAAGTTAATAAAACAGCAATATATAAATATAAATATAAATATATATATATATATATATATATATATATATATATATATATATATATATATATATATATATATATATATATATATGTGTGTGTGTGTGTGTGTATTTAACTAGGTTTTAAAATATAATGCTTTAAAAATTGTTAAAAAAAATTATTTGTTAATAGTTTTTGTTGCAATAAACAACAATAACTTAATCTCAACAGCTTAATCTGCAAACAAGATAACTCAATTAAACCAAACTGTGCAGGAGCAATACAAAAGTATTTCAAATGCCCATATATACACTTACATGAGTTTTATTGTTATTTGTTCATATTTTTATATTTAAAATCATTACTAAAAACAAAATGACACATTTACGATGATGTCTTAAAAGTAAGAAAAACTGTTACTGCAATAAAGTTGATTTTACAAAAAATCTTGTTTGTGGATTAAGCCATAGATATGTAAAAGAAAATTTTATACTTTATATACTCATATTTATTTTTTTTTAGATTGAAAAAACGCTCACCTATAAATGAAAAAGGTAGTATTTTTATTACTATTATTATCATTATTGCTGTTATTATTTTTATTTTTATTATTATCTTAATTATTATTATTATTATTATTATTATCATAATTTTTTTGATGATTAAAATTTTAATTTCAAGATTTCATTAATTTTCTTGGACATTGAATTTTTCCTAAATTCTGAAGTTATCTCTTACAACCAGATATACTCAGTTGCATCTTTAAGTGCTGGTTTCACAAATAAAAAATTTTTCAGCAATAGCTGAATGGTACTTTCATCACTCTAGATATCACACTAGACCATTGTTGTAGTGTCCAACTAAAAATGTCACTTTTAGCAATTTTTCGGACCTTGGTTCCGGGTTAATGTTATTGACCTTCATTTACCAGGGGACAACTTTTTTTTTTTCCCTATTTTTAAAATTTTATTCAAATCTATATAGTCATAAATCATTTTACATAAATCACTACTTGTAAGTATACATATATATATATATATATATATATATATATATATATATATATATATATATATATATATATATATATATATATATATATATATATATAGATTATATATTATTATAACTGATAATAATCCATTATAAGAGATACTGTGTCATACCATGATTTAAGATTCTCCATGTTTCACAGACTTAACGGTATATTTTTGCTGGAGTTCTATATTAGATAGACGTATTACATGTTGTCTTGAACCTCTACCTCCATTAAGAATGATTTTTGAATCATAGGTCCGTATTATGCAAACATTTAGTGATATGTTTTTTTTGTTAACAAATAGACCTTTTGTTGACTGCGTATCTTTAAACTGTTATCTTAACATAAGTATCTGCATACAGTAGTGGCACTAATTATAAGTGTCTGCATACAGTAGTGTCACTCACTGTTAATTTAAGATCATATTTGATTTGGTTGGCATATGCAAATAATTTGCTTTTAACAAATCTGAAAATTCTTCAGTCTTCCTGTACGGTATTCTTAGATTTTCTCCTTGTTTTTGTTGACTTTTTGAAATAATAAGAATATGACTTTTAAAGGTTAAATTTGTGTTTGGTTGTAACAGTAAACTAGCTTAGACATGTAGTGGGTTTTGCTGAGGAGTGTATATATTAGGGTAGTCTAATTTTTTTTTTTAATTATATATCACACCCTCTTATATTTGACCAGGTTCAAGGAGTTTAAATTTTTAGATAATCAGTGATAGAAAGTGCTCCTCCAAGTTCACTGATTTCCAAATCCTTAAGAGATCAGTTTTTGTTTTAAATGCTTTTATCCTATAAGTATGTAAGATAAAACTAAGTATGATATAATCAACTGAAGCCTGTTAATTTCTTTAATACATAGTCTGTTATTTATTAGGATTAGTACAGACAAGTACAGTGGTATAAAAAATGTCAGAATCATTTACATGTTTTACCAATTTCTCAGTTTAAAACATGTTTAGGTTTTTAAAATAGATAAAAGCAAAAAAAAAAATGATTTCATGTCACAAGATACTTTAAGAAAGAACAAAAAACTTGAGATTATAACAATTCCTTTAAAAGTTTTTCAATTTTAGTGCATGTTAGTATTAGCCACTAGATAATTGGTATTGAGTCTCCATTAGTGTGTGGTATCAATACAATACCTTAAAGTATTGATATTGAAATCAATACTTATATCAAAGGATTGGTTATCTCATGTTATATATATATGTTATTTCTGTATTGATGTTATTGTTTTGTGTTGTTCTTCACAAGAATTAATTTTATTTTTATAATTGAATCATATAGTAGAAAATAAAATGTAATAGAAATTATCAATGATAGTGTCTTATCCTATGACATACTTATCATTTAATGTTTCAAATAGTATCGCAATTTTACTTTATTCAATTGTGTTGTATTGCTTCTATAATTTAATTTCCTATCTGGTATTGTTATTTTAATGTAATTGTGTGCGATTGCTTTTCTAATTTAATTTTTTATATGGTATCATTATTTATTTAAGCCTTGTGTGATATTATAGTTCTTGCCTTGTATCTTCTTTCATTCTGTGTTTAACATTCAACAATTAAAATAAATTAATCATCGATCATGCCTCCTATAACATCTTTTATCTGTGGTTCAACAAAATTATAAGTACTATTTAATTATAAGTATCATATTTATTTTATATTTTTGTTCATCCATTTTGTTCCTTGTCTAAATAATACCTTAGTTAATATCTTGTGATTTGTGTTCTGTTTTTTATTAAATTTTGTATTTTGTAATTTGTGTTTGTTGCTTTTAATAAAAAATATGTAAAAAATGTCTTTATTTGTTATTAGCTAAACCACCAAATAGCAGTCTTACTTGTATTTTGTTCATAATAAATTCAAAAATTATATCAAATGAGACTATTCAACCATTCAATAATTTTTTTTTATATAATTCTTTTTATTATTGGTATCATGTGGTATCAAATTGATACTGATGGTATTGGCATTAAAATATAAATGATACAACATGATACGAGACCATCTATCTCTGTATTGCTATACCTGATACGGGTTATCTAGTGTCTAGTTAGCGTGGTTTTAAAACTTTTTTACAATTATGTATGCAGTATGATTTGGTATGATGGTGACTATTTTGACCTGAAGGTATGTGCATACCAAGATACTTGTGATATATGTGCATTTTATTTTTATTTTGAACAGATAATGTATTCTGTGATACATAATAAAATATACCTTTATGAGCAACCGTCAATGTTAAACTCAAAGTTAGAGGTGCTCATAAACGTATACTTTCTTGACAACCTGTGAGTTTTCACAGGTTGTCAAGAAAGTAGGTTATAATTAAAAAGTAGCTTATTCTGTCCTAAAAAACTTTGTATATGATAGAAATTTTTTCAACATTGAAAAATTATAAGGATATGTAAGCCTTAAATAGTGTCTTCGCTCCAGCCCTAAAACTTAAGTTACTGTTCAAAAAACTGATAATAAAGTTGAAATTATTAAGTTAAAAATAAACAGCTAAAACTAAAAGAAAAGCTACTAAAATTCGCAAAAGCATTAGGAAAGTTGGGTTTGAAAGTATCTAATTGTTGATTTCATGATTGGAAAGAATGGCCAGTTATATTTGGTCATATATTGTTAAATTTAATTATAAACAGATACATGCACCAGCAATGAGAATTTCAAACATGAGATTAAAATTTTATTAATATCTCAAATGAAATTGATAATAATAATCTCAAATAAAAGTGCCTCCTTGACAAATAATGACTGCTTCATGGAATTCAAAATTGCTTACAAATTACAAAATTGAAAACATTTGCAATGGTGATGAGTTTGGACTTTTTTACCAGTGCCTATCATCAATTGTATATTCTAATCCAGTGAAAAAACTAATAAGATTTAAGCAAGATTTAATAAAACTTACTAATATTAGCAAATAGAAAACAAAAATAAAATAAAGAAAGGCAAGCAAAAAGGTTGTAGTCAAAAGCAAAGAATTCCCCTCCTCCATGACTATTATTAGGTTTCTTAAAAATTTCTAAACATTTTTATTTAGTTTAATATTGCAAAAAATTGTAGAATTAAAAAGAAAATTATTTCCCCTTCATTATCTATAATATCTAACAAAATTGTTTTCATAATACATTTATTTATTTATAAAATAAACATAATCAAGATTTTTCATCAAATTTGAAGAAAAATATTGTGTTAACATTTCCTGATTTTTACATTTTAACAGAATACTTATTTTATCAATCCTCACCAAATAATAAGAATGTAACTTAAAATTCTTTTTTCTTTTTTTTTGAAAGCATTTTTATATTTACCTGTTTTAACAATATTTTTTTGCATTTTAGGCTGTCCATTGGATGAAAAGTTATAGTACGTCATTATTACATGTTTACAGTAAATATTTAATTAAAATATTGGTTTGATAAAACAGCTAAGATAAAATTATCTACCTTTAAAAAAAAGATTAGTAATGCTTTATTATTTTCTAATGTATATATATATATATATATATATATATATATATATATATATATATATATATATATATATATATATACATACATATATATATATATATATATATATATATATTATATATATATATATATATATATATATATATATATATATATATATATATTAATTTTATAATTTATATTTATGTTTATGGTTAACAAATCTTTGTCATTAAAAATGATAAAATTAATTTTGTAATTAATTTTATCATTTTTAATGACAAAGATTTGTTAACCATAAACAATAAATTTAAAGCATTTACAATAAGAATATATATGTATATATATATATATATATATATATATATATATATATATATATATATATATATATATATATATATATATATATATATATATATATGTAAATTTTTAACTTTGATGAAAAAGAGCTGTACCAAGCACCATCATCATAACATAATTCGGGACACACAGTCTGTTCTGGTTAGCTTTAAAAGTGTGTAAAATTAACTTTTAAATTTAGTTGAGTTTGCATTGGCTACCTTTGCTGGTAGCCTATTTCAGTTGTTAACAACTTGAATATTGAACAACTTGTTCTTGGCAGGTTTTAACAATTTTTTGTGTTAGTTGTTAATTATATTCACACAGTAATACTCTGATAGCAATTTGGACATATATTTATGGAAAGCAAAGTCAATTTTTTCTATTTTATTTGCGATTTTATACTGCTAAATCAGGTCTCCCCATTTTTATCATTCTACCAAGAGTGGTAAGATTTAGTATCGCCAGTCTATTCTTATAGTTTTGTGCTTTATCTTGCTTATTGTTTTAGTTGCTTGCTGTTGAATGCATTCAAGTGTTTTTACATTAATTTTTAGGTGAGGAGACCAAACTTGGATGCAAACTCTAGATGAGGTCTAATGTATGTTGTGTAGATTACTCTCCATAACATCAGCCCTTTAGTGTGAAATGATTTTTTTAGTATGCCAAGTACTTGCTCAAGCCTCTGCAGCTTCTACCTAATGCTTAACATTGTGGTCGTTTGATGTTAAAAGTCAGTGTCATTATTGTGGTTCCAAGTTATATTCAATTACAATCTATGTCAAGCATTGAGTTAAAAGGCGCACTGGCTTATTTAAGTCACCAGCATGCAAGACTTTTGTTACATTTGTTAAGGTTAAAAAACATGAGCCACTTTTTTGACCGTTCAACTGCACGATCTATGTTTTTTTGTAGTTTTATTGCAGCATTTTCTGTTTTGATGATCCCTAAGATCTTACTGTCATCTGCATAGATCTTTATATGGTGCGCCATGTTGTCTGGAAGACCATAGAAATTAGATATAAAAGTGGACCTAACACTGAATCTTGTGGAACACTGCTAGTAACATATACTCATTCAGACTTGCTATTGCTAATAATTTTTCTGTTATTCACTCCAGGAGTGCCCCATGTATACTAATCAATGTTGAGATTTTGTAAAGAGCCCTTTCTCAAGGCAATGTTTTGTGATTCTCTTGTGTATAAAACTTTCCATTATCTTACAGGCTACTGATGTGATAGAAATCTGGTTTGTAGTTTGAACATTTCCCTTAGCTTCCATTTTTGAATATAGGAGTCACATTTGATATTATCCATAGGGTCTATGCCTTTAGCCAATGATTCTTTTAAAATTGTAGCTAGTGGCCCAGCTATCGCAGTAGCACAGTGTCAAAGAACACGAGGATGTATGTTATCATAGCTATTTGACTTTGTCTCAATGAGCTCTTCTAGCTATTGCTGAACCAATATAGTTGTTATCTCTGCTTCACTCATGACACATTCCATTTCTGTTTGTTCTCAAAGGTTGGGATCTGGTGTAACAGCTCAACAACAGACTGGAAATAAATGTTAAGTAAATGAGAAAATTTATGACTGTCAGTTGTAAGATTTCCTCAGTTGTCTTCCAGTTACTTCATTATTCATTATTTGTTTCTATTTGAGATGGTTATGAAGACATTTTGGATCAATTTTGAAACAGTTGATTCTGTCAACAAACACATGATAACTGTCATTTACTAAACAGGAGTAGAAAATTGTCACCCAGTAATAGAATGTAATTTGGGTATTTCCATGTCAAATGACCCAGAAATTTTGAAAAATGTCACCCTATATCTCAGATTTTACTGATTTTTATACAGTTAAGAGTACTTATTAAAATAAAAATTTAGGCTGTGTCGTGGATCCACTCTTTAGAAGCAAAATCTTTTGATTTTTTCACTACTTTTCAGACAAACTGGAGCTTGGAAACTTTCAGTATTTGTGTAATCCTGATCAATGTGTATTAAAATTGTTTCCAGGGTATTTTTTTTTTGCATTTTTTATAAAGATATTTTTGAAAATATTGTTTTCAAAAACTTTTTTTTGTTTATATTTGTTCCATATGTTTTTTGATCATTCTGTATTCAATGATCTTTTTTAAAATATTTTAAGAAAGTACATGTTTATAAGATTTTTGATTAGAAAGTATATGGATTAAAAACAGTCATCCATCTAAAATAATGATTTTAACAGAATTTTACATTGTATCAGCGCTTGATATGATTTTAACAGAATTTTACATTGTATCGAAATAGCGGCCGATCAACGATCAATGATCGTCTACATTTGGAAAAATAGACATTTTGATTGCCTAAAATTAAATCTGGCCAATCAAATTTATTCGGCAGAATTTGCTTGTCAAACTTTTGTAATAATCAATACAAAAACTTAGATACAGAAAGTTAAAATTAAATTAGTATCACAATTATTTTGAAATCAATTATATTCTAAGTAAAATAATGTAGGTAAAAACAGCAAAAAAACAACTTATTTAAATTCTGAATAAAATAATTTTTAAAAAATGGCAAAGTTTTATTATAATTCTAAATAAAATGAAAATGGCAAAACAAACCATTTGTTTATTTTCTATAATAAAATAAAATAAAAATGGCATATCGAAAATTAATTTGTATTTTAAATAAAATAATTAGGATAAAAGCGGAAAAACAAACATATTTATATTCTAAATAAAATTTATTAAAAAAATGGCAAAGTTTTATTTTTATTCTAAATAAAATAATTAAAATAAAAACAGCAAAACAAGCGATTTATTTAAATTCTAAATAAAATAATTGAAATAAAAACGACATTAGATTTATTTTAATTCTAAATAAAATAACTAAAATAAAAACAGCAAAAGTTCTAAATAAATTCTAAATAAATTTAGTTAAATTCTGAATAAAATAACTAAAATAAATACGGCAAAGCTAATGTTAATTTAAATTCCAAGCGAAATAATTAAAATAAAAACGGTAATGTTTTATTTATATTCAAATTAAAACAATTCAAAAGAAATACGGCAAAACAGACGATGTATATAAACTCTAAATAAAATAATAATAAATAAAAATAGCTATGTATCATATACTCAAAATAATACAAAAAGAAAAACGACAAAACCAACGATATACTTAAATTCTAAATAAAATTAATAAATTAAAAACGGCAAAACGAACGATTTACTCAAATTTTAAAGAGATTAAATAAAATTATAATTAGTTAAAAGTTATAAAATTATAACGGCAAAACAAAAATCATGTGAGGTAGGATCAAAAAAATGGATTGTAAATTTTAGTAACATTTAACAAAAAATTGATCTTCCAAAAAATTATTTGATCATCTGGTTTTTAATTATTTTATTTCAGCCGATCAATGTTGATCGGCAACCTTCGAATAATTATTTCGAGCTCTGTTGTATAATTTAAAACTTTTTGAATCAAAAAGAAAACAGATATAAAAACATTGATCTGTCAGACAACAATATTTGAAGAATACAAATTGATATTATCAGAGGCAATAAAAAAACTAACAGTTCATTCCTACATTGCAAAATGTCAAGCAAGATACTAAGGCAATAAAATTAAAATTTGGCAAATGACTGCTTATTGTGATTCAAGATGAAATCTAAAGTTATCATTGGTGTCAATGTCAATGCATGTTACACCGTTGCCCTCTATTTATTAAACAAAATTAACCAGCTTAAAAGAAAATCGTTTTGCTTCATGTCAGAAGATAATGAGTCATTGGTATTGTGAAGTTCTAAAGTTGAATAAAGTGAAGACTTAAGTTAAGCAGATGAGTGTTGAGTTCCATTTACCAACATAATTTATACCATTGATGCACATGTAACCACAACTGGACGTATGTATACTTTGATGTTGGGGCATCTAAGCAAATCTTAACTCAATCTTGAGACTTGATATTTTTTTATTTTATTTTGTAAATAATCAAATAAAACATAACAAGAACAAACCCAAAAAATGTTTAAAAAACAATATTATCTTTACTTTATTAAAAATGCAAAAATTTTTTTTTGAGAAAATAAGTGGGGCATGGCCCAAGTGCCCCGAGCTATAAGCCCTCTGGTCGTCTGCCCTAGAAACAATTTTAACACACATTCATTAGGACTACACAATTTGGTGAAAGTTTTAGAGTTCCAGTTTGTCTTGATGGTATTTAAAAATATAGCACAAGATACCACTACAAAAAAGTGGAACACTTACCCCAGTCTTAAGTAATGTCTTGGGCCCTTAAAATAACTTTAACATGCACATTCATTGGCACTACAGAAAAGCCAATTGCAATATTCCACTACAAAAAAGTGGGAACCGTGCCCCGTTTTCCATATATGGAAATCCATATACTTGCAGATCAAAATCTTTACATTTTTTGAAAGATCAATGAATATAGAATGTGTAATAATTTTTTTTGATATCATCAAGGCCACATGACTTTCTTGAGCATTAAAAACAGGTATATAAAAAATTGCCTGAACTTATTTAAATTGATAATAATTTTTTACAATTTTGATCATTCCATTGGATTTGTCACCCCAAAA